TCGACACGGCACGACACGACACGACATGACCCTCCCGGCACCGACTGAGCGCGGGCAGGGCGCGACCCGGCCCCGCGGGCTGCCCTCGGGCTCTGCCACATGGAAGGGGCTGGGAGAAGAGACCGAGCCCTGCCCCCGCTGCGGCAGAAGGCGCCCAGCGCCCCGCCGTGCCCGCCACGTCCCCGCAGTGCCCGGGGCCCCACTCAACTCCCCCCCCCCGGACAAACGGGAGCGAGACACATGCCATTTAAAAGACAAACGTGGGGTCGGTATTGTAAATGGAGACATTTTGTCTTCTGTGCCTAGCAGTGGTACTTAGAACTCAAACACGAAGGTTCCCACGTGCCCCATTCTTCACTTGGCAGACAAGGCTCTTCGGGTGAATCTGATCTCTTTTATTAGACCAACTTAAATATTTGGGACAAAAATTCTTAGCAAGCTTTCAGTTTAGAAACCCTTTGCCAGGCTGAGGATGGGATGATGAATTCACTCCATCCCAGAAGAGCGCACACCAGCTGCAGAGGCTTCCTCAGCCTGGTGGAGGGGTTTTTAAACCCAAAAGGTTGGTAAGAAATGTTTTTTTCCCAACTATTTGAGTTGGTCTAATAAAAGATTCACCCAAAGAACCTTGTCTGCCGGTGTCCTTAGACCAACACAACTACTACAGCCTACACCCTTATTCATCACTCATTTTTCAAGTTTGCCTTCTTTTCCAGCAGAGAAGCTGCATCTCGGCAGCATCTGTGAGGCACAAAATAAGAAATAAAAGCAGCCGCATTGGCTTCGATGTAAAGGTGAAAGCCACAGGGGTCAGTCAGCCTCTCCCGCCACTCATGCCTCGGCCCCCTCCCCCCTGTGCAGGGTCACTCACACCTGTCCAGGGCACTCTCAGGGATCCAACGTCCAGGCTCACGTGCTCCACATAGCAGGTGTGGTTGTGGTTGTGGTTGCTGTTGGGGTCGATCTCTATTCTGGCCCAGGTCTGGTAGGTCTATCTGCACTGGGAATGCCCCCCTGGCCCTGCTGTAACCCACCAGACCCCCGCGTTGTGCTCAGAGCTGGGAGAGAAGCCAGGTGTCCTGCCTCCCAGCACCCCTATTCCAAGCTCCCTGACCCGCTGCGTCCCACCACTAGAATACAACCCAGGGGTCCAGGACAGCTGCTGCAGCAGGAGGGGTCCTGTCTTCACACAAACACCACTGCCAGCAGACTGGCATCTTCCTGGCGCTCGGGGACCTTGGAGGATGTGTCCAGTCTGGGTGCAGGACGTGGCTGGGCTGCAGCCAGCAGGAGGCTCAGAACAGGCCTGACCAGGGTGGGATGAGGTGGGACAGGTGTGCTGCCTAGAGAGAGCTCCAGTCCCCAGCCCCTCCTACTGCCCCCAGCCCTACTCTGTGTCCAGCCCCAGCCTCAGCCCTGCCCCAGACAGAAGCCTCCAAACAGGATGGGGAGAGAGAAAACCAAGAGCGCATGTATTGAAATAGCCCCAAGCTGCCAGATATGCATGCTTATTCTCTAAAGGAGATTTTACAATCTTAAGCTTTCTCCACCCAGCCCTACCACACCACACCCCTCCCCACCCACAAACAGAAGGAAAGGAAAAGGGAAAGGAGGAAAGAAGGTTGTGTCCATTGGACCTGAGATCAGTGCAAAATGTCAGAGCATCTGGGGCTGCCCCTGCCCAGCTGAGACCTCCTCTGCACACCCAGCACCAAGCAGCTGATGCCCCAGTGGAGTCTGGCATCCAGAAAAGCAGGGGGGTGCTCAGCCACCTGGGCATCAGTTATGATAAAAACAGCTCCCCTTATCCTGGTTTGGCCCATGCCCTGATGATGCTACTGATACGAGTCTCCCTGTGGACACAGACTTCTCCTGGTGTCACTCCCAGGATGCAGAGAGCAGGTGCTGCACGCTGGGCAAACCGGAGCAGCAAACAGGAACTACACAGGCTGAACAGCAGCTTAGTCCCTGCAAACAGACACTGTGAAGTTTATCTTATAGGAGAGAGAGAGAGAGAAGGGGGCTCCAGGGCACTGATTCGGTGCAAGTCCTGCTCATTTCCCTGCTCTAAGACTCCTTTCCAAGAGCATCTTACCTCTGCCTTTTTTTTTTCTTTTGCTACAAACAAGCAATGTTCAAAACCCACAACAAGCAATGCCCACAACTCCCCCTGCCTCCACCCTGCCCACCCACAGCCAAGCATTTTTAATGTCACACATGAGCTATTTGCTGTCCCAGAGCAAGGCATTTTGATTTGTCAAAATCATGCCTAAAGTGAAATGCTTGGAAGGAGAGAATGGGCTGCAGCACTTGCTCTGTGCTGCTCTCTCTCCTTTTCTGTGGCCCCTTGGGAAGTGGTGCAGGCTCCTCCCGGCTTCGTTCAGCTGTGGGAATGAGACATGGGAGATGTAGCAGGTTGGGGTGTGTAGATACCTTTAAAAGTGTTATGTACAAGTTGTTACACTTGCCCAGCAGAGAGAGGAGGAAACCAGGGCTCTCTGAATAAGCAGGCTTTATTGTTGTATAAGTTTAACTCCTTGGTCTTTGGAGAACAACATATGGTACCAGGAGCGGGGTGTGAAGACAGATAGAAAAATGAACCTTCTCAGACTTGCAGGGGAGATAAAGCTGTCCAGCAATGCAGCAGAAAATGGGAAGAAATTTAAGCAGAGCTTCACCATACATAGGATGGCCAGTGGAGCTGCAGAGAAGGAAGATCCTCTCAAGGTAGCTATTTTTTTTTTTTTTTTTAAATATAGCAGGCCCAGAAGTTCTGTCTCTTTATAAGAGCCTACAACTGTCAGAAGAAGAACAGAAAAGCTATGGCAAATGAATAAAAAAATTTGAGCAATACTGTATACTGTAACAGGTCAGGATCCCAGGGGTGGCCAGGATGTCCTTTGGTGGCTCCGCGACTGTGCCCCGCTCCGCCCCTAGGGTGCCCTTCTATCTCGCCCACCACACCTTGACATTATATAACTAAATAGGGAAGCTGCCCATGGCCTTTTGCAAGGCCTCAGTCCCACTGGTAACAGGTTCCTGGCTGGGCCTCTACAGTCACAGGCCTTTGGCTGGGCCACTACAGTCAACTGTACCCAAAGCCTTGAGGGCTAATTGCGTGGCTCCAAAACCTCCCTTTTACCATGCCCCGTGCCTTGCAGGTGTTACAGGTATGTTGCCCCTCTGTTGGGGCTTCAGCCTCCTCAGCCTCTGCCCCTTTTATCTAGCTAGGCCTTCTAGCCTAGACCCACTGAAGCAGATCTGGCTTTGAGGCACTAGCTTTGTTTGTCCTTTCCAGTCACCTGACCCCTGCCCCCGTCTGCCAGCCCCCTGGCCCCTCTGTGGCTGTGCCCTCACTGGCGCTAATGAGACCTCCTCCTCGCATTATAGCCTCATCCCGGTCCACCATATAAACACAACATAAACACAAGCCCCTGGGCTATAACATAAATAACAACCTGTAGCAGCCTTCTGCCCCTTTGAGAGTATAAACCTTCACTAACCCAGTATCCCAGGTTCCCCTAGACAGGAGCTCTTCCCCTTGTGGCAGCCAGAGAGAGACTCCCGTGCCAGCCCCAGCCTTGGGTTTATATGTTCCCTGGGCCCTGCCTGCATATGGTCAGCTGACCAACTGAAGGTACCTGCTAGTAATTACCCATTAGCTTGTTGCCCTGGCAACCTGCAACTGTGGTGCCCTGCCTAGCCTGCAGAGCTCCCTGGCTGGGCTGCTTTT